GGAAACCAATATTGGACCGTATCGTTGTATTCCCTTCTTCTTCGAATGTGTTTACACCTTTTTCGATCGCTCGAAATCATTCCGAGGTTTCGAGGGAAATGGCTGTCGAAGAATTCAGAACTTGGTTCTCACGGTTATCCAATGCGGGTAAACGGCATCCTCGGCCATCTCGTGGTCGAAATATGAACGACGTTTAGCCGGGCACACGTGGCAACCGCCACAAACCGTGTGCTCCTCGACCTTGCCAAACGTTCAATATCAGGATGTGGGCGCGTAGCCGAGGTTCTTCCGCTGCAGGAACATCGAGATCTCCCGGAAGGTTGGCCTCTCGCTCTCCTCCCGCCGCCAACAGTCGAGCATCAAATCGTAAATATCCTTGGAGCACGCGGTCGGCTGCGGTAAATAGGTGAAAAGGTTATCGGTATTCTCCTTGCATCCGCTGCTCTCCGCATCGGTGTCGGTGGCGCAATCGGCCCGATGCAATCGTCGCAGGCTCTGCACCACTTCCTCGTTCGACAAGTGCTCGTAAGGGATCCGTCTGCCAAGGTTCAGGATCTCCCACAGGGTCACGGCGAACGCCCACACGTCGCTCTTCGTCGTGTACTTGCCCTGCGAAGATCGTATCGATTATATCGGATTCTAGCTTCTAAATAGTTGGGGTTTGACAGAATGAATGGTTTTTTTGAATTCATTGAATCGATAAATTTATTGATTCTGTTCTGTGGAACGGGTAAAAAAAAAAAAAAAAAAAATAACAAAAGCGACGAATTTAATTTTTACGATAGAACTGCGGATGTCTATGCATTCATTGGTGAACTTAAAGAATACGGGAATCTTTGGAAATAATTTATCTTTAATTCCACAATTCGATGAGAAGAAACTACGTGTAAATCGTACGATTGTTATGTCAATTGATTTTCAACGGTGTACGAATTTGATTAAAATTGTTTGAGTATCAATTATAGAATTTGTTACGCAAATTGGAGAACAAGGGGACACTTGTGTATCACGTTTAATTCAGTATTGGAATAAAGCTTACCAGGAATATGGATTCCCAGGCCATCCAGCGTATCGGCAGTGGCACCGTGCCATCGACTTTGTAATAATCGCTCGCGTACAATTCGTTGTCCGTACCGAAATCCGAGATTTTAATGTGATAAGCTTTGCCCACCAAGCAATTCCTGTAATCGAAAATCATCGTTATCGACCACCAATCCGACGAATCGATCTTCGCGTTTCGCTCCTACCAATCCATTTAATTAACTTCCTATGCAATCCATTTAATTAACTTCCGAATCTTCCTACGAACCGAATCTTCACCGTTATCATTACCTTTCTATTCTAATTCATCCACAATTAATTGTTAAATTTCGTTTTCGTCGCGAAAAACGAACAGATTCTCGTTCTCGTTTCTTCGGCGATACAGTTTTTTCCTTATCGAGTGGTGCACCTCAAAGAGGAAACTCGAGAGAAATCTACGAATTTGGGAATGAATTTCTAGGCCGCAGATACGCGCATCGATTTCGACTTTGGAAAATTCGAATACTTTTCCGACCGATTCATCTCGAATGAAAAAGAGGAACGCGGTTCGAATCGATCCCTCGGTCGGTATGTTGGGGTGCATAGCGCGGCCGCCAATCTGCATACGCGTACGCATTCTGTGCATGGCAGCCGACCGGAAGCAGGA